AGGTTTCCAATGGCGCTGATGCATTAGGGCCATTGTCCCGCAAAATGCGCGCGCCCATCGACATCATTACCGCGTAATTAACACTCGCCCGCCCTCGCTCGCCACTCCGTCGCCGCCGCGTAATGAGTTCAAGCGTGGAAATTTGCATGCGAGACCCGCTCGGGCTGCTGACGTACCGTAAACCGCATCCGCGGAGTATTCAGAGTTCTCTAATTGTTTCCGCAATTTATTCTGCTCTTCTTCTTGAAGCAGCAAAAAAATTACATTCAGCCAATGTCACTCCAACAGCAACAATTAATAGTATTCTAGTGTAAACATAATTAATAGTATTCTAATCTAAACACACGTTTTCAAGGTAATTTTTGGAAATTAAATTTATAAAAATGGTTAAACCTACAGAGCTCAAGTTTTGTATTCACATTTATTCGTATTTGAAGCAACACTTCAAATTTTTACAAAGCTTTTTATTATAAATTTTACAAGATACAGGTGGACGCACAGGTCATGTCGCAAAATACCTTTCCGACATGAAAGGTCGAAATATTTTAGAGGTGGATTTGCTTTAATTTTTATAGGTGAATATGGGATAATTATTTTTTTTAGTGTATTAATATGTTTTTTATTTATTAATATTAGAAGAGTTTTAATGATATTTTTATACATTAATATATTTTGTAGATTGGTAATTTTTATACGTGGGTTATTACCTCGAATACGATATGATGAGTTGATATATTTGTGTTGAAAAATTATTTTGCCGTTAGTGTTAAATTATTTGGTAATAATTTTTTCTTTTAAAATTATATTTACACTAATTATTTAAATTTGTAATTATGAAAAAAGTTAACGAAATTTCGAGAACGTTCCTGGTTTCCCTGATTACTGCGCGTGATCGCGCTCGCGCAGTATCGATCATCGCTCAGATTAGTCGATAGCCGAATTTGGCTGCCACGAGCTGGCATTGCCTGCCGGTCGATCTCGGCGCAATCTTACAAGAGTAGTTTTAAAAAGATCAAAATGTCGGAGGATCAAACGATAGCCTAATATGTACACTATATGTGTGCAAAACTGCAAGTCGATCGATTCAGTAGTTTGTGAGAAAAATACACGCCCGATTTGGAAAATGTCGTTTCGAGAAAAACGTGTTTAAAGTTTTTCATGCAGTTACGAGGTGGATAATGAATAATTTCAGTAACTTACTTGTAGTCGGCCAGGCCCGCACAGAATACCTTCCTCAGTTTCGAAGAAGTCGTCTTGAGCAGTCTTTTCTTCTCTCCTGGCAATCCTTGCCTGTTTCGTAAGACGTCCGCTTGTCAGAACGTCTAATGCGCTCGTCGTCTCTGGTATCTGCGTACATTTTAGCGTTCTGGTCGATTTTTAGTCCCATCACATCCATGATTTACAGAATTCTGTGAAACCCTTCGTTGAAAATGCAAACGGCTAAGAACGTTGCAATTTCCATAGTCTTTTTACTACAGTGCAAATATTTCGGAGCAATTGTCCAGATTATTGAATTTAAACATTCATTATTGTTTTGCGTGAAAAATCCAAGGCATCTCTCCAATAAATCGTCGGTCGTTAAGTCCTCATAAATGGATCTGATGACATTTAACATCGTTCAGCGGTGACTTGTCATGTGTGAAAGTGTTCAGTGTTCCTGCAGCCTCCGCTTTTTACGCCACGCGCGCCAGCTCATAGGACCTTTAGGGCAACGTGCGTGGTGTGGATTTTCATCGGTCGATCTTTTGTGATCAAACGTGGCCCATATAGCATTCTTCATTTCTTCTACTGACTCTGGATTTCTTCGTATTGCCAAGCCGTAGTACGTAGTTAAAAAAACGTACGAGACTGACTTTCTTCAGTTATCTGACTTTCTTTAGTTTCTAGACCCTTTTTTATCTGCACGACCTATAATGATACAAAAAAGAGATTATTTAATTAAAACAAAATATATAAATTAATAATAAATTTCAATATATGGTGTTAAATCGTAGTTTATCTACAGAAAACATTCATATATTTTAAGGATTTTAAATAATTAAAAGCAATGGTTGCAATCATAGAAGAATTAAATATTCATTAATGAAGGAATAAACTAATAGGAAATAACACAATTACAGTTTACTTAAAGAAAAAATTTACTTTTGTATAAAGTATAAATCCATCAAATATTTCTTGAGTGTTAGGCTTCCATCTTTTCCCGTTTTCTAATCGTTTACTAGAGTAGGAGTGAGAAGCTTTCTCATGCTAATAAAACAAATATGACAACCTGTCATAGACCACAAATTGACATACAGATATTATTACTTAATGAGCTTGCCTCATAAAAGGATTGTTAGTCCTTGACCTGAGACTCATAAACATGCAGAAGGACTGACGGATCTGCGATGGTTAGGCGCATAGTGGCTTGCAGTTTTGTGTTTTTGTTGAACAGTGTTATCATCGGTTTATATTTTCTAATTGCTTGAAGTTAGGTAAAATAAATGAAAAAAGTAAAACTTGCTGCTAGTACTTTTTTTGCTTCCGCTTCGGGCTGTACGCTCACACGAAGCGCCCGCATTTGTTGTCCGCGAATGCAGTCGTGCGAATGCACCTGGCAGCGGAACTGGGTCACGTGTCACACCCGTCATCGCCGTCATTCCGTAAGTGTAAGAATGAACTTCCGATCGTAGTTGCAACGAGAGAGCGGACTCGTTGTCATTCAGATATGTGAAAAAAAAAACGATATTAGTTATCGATTGTCGATTGAACGCAGCCTTCGGTAATTCCGGGATAGATAGCCATACGAGGAGAGACGACCAGTCATTGTGGATTCTCCGGTAATTGCCGGGGCGATATGCATGAGTAGTTAATATACCGTCATGTGTGTGTGTGTGTGTGTGTGCCGGTTGATTGGAATTGTTTCTCCGTCAGCTTCATTGAATATTTTATTATGTTTTTTTTTGTTCCAGTTTATCTATCTCAAAAAATCTATTCGTTACATTTACGTATACGTGGACTTTCTCGGAAATAATTTTCTCCGAATCGGTAAAAGGATTAATAAATTACAAACGACTGAACATTGTGAGATTTTGTGATTCGAGCTGTGGAGCGCAATTAAACGGCGCGGTCTTATGTTTCAATTAATTTCAAGTGGAATTTATTGTAGCAAGATCTCAATCTGATCTTGAACTTCGAATCGCATCCATGGAAAACTATTTATTCATACACTCACGTGCAGACTGACTCCACGTGCGTGGTATTTGCAGAAGACACGTTTCCCCCCGTCGGGACGAACGCGGCGCGGCGTCTCTTCATGCGCGTGCACGGCGAGTGCTAATTGATCGTGTCTTCGCGCGCGTTTAATAGCCGAGCGTGTGGCTCTCTTACCACGTCGGCGTAAAGTCGACGTGCGGCTCGCACAGACAAGATCGCGCGTCGGCAGTCGCGTCCCGATTTCGCGGCGGATCAATTTACTTAACAAGAGCGCGAGCGGAGGACCTAGCGCGATAAAGTTGAGCCGTCGCGAGACCGCGCGAACCCGCAATTAACGCCTCCGGTGGAACGTCTTGTAATCGCTTAATAAGCATCCGTGTGCAAATAACGTCTGCTAATTGGATACACACCGAACGTCGCGTGGCCGGTAATCAGCGCGGCGAGCAACGAAGCCTCCCAATATGACGTCCGTCGTGGCGTCGCGGTTCGCGATACTCGCGGGAAAACCTCGCTGCAACCGGTTTAACGGCCGACACTAAACATCAGGTGCAAACGATAAACTTTTTCCACACCTTTCGTGAGGATACGCTAAACCGTTCGTGTTAATAATGCTCCAGTGATCATCGGCATTAGTCAACATTGAAATCACGACCACTGCGATCTTTCGAGCGATAAAGAAAGAGAAAAAGGAACAGACTGGAGAAACGGTGAACCGACGAGCGTTGATTTACGGTTGATTACATTTTCCGCGCGGTTCTGCATAAGTGAATGCGCGCCGACGAGGAGACGGGCGCTCGCTTACTTTCGATTATTTCTGCGCCGTCATGAATGAGACGTCCAGTATTCACGGTAGTAACGCTGTTTAAAATGCCGATGTGAGATACATATTATTCGACGTGTTAGTCTCGATGGTAGAAAGTGCCCCGTCGGGCGCGCGATGCATACATTCGAGGAGAATACGCGCGCGTTTCGCCGTTCACCACCGCCGGCGGAAGGTGGCGAGGGTTAAAAGGTGGAATTAGAGGAGGCCTTTCAACTGAAGGTCAAACTCGTGGACTGACACGCGGTGGTGCATGCGTTTCTGCATGCGTACACGTACGCGCGCGCGTGTACGTCCGTGCGTGACGTATGTACGTGCTCCTCGGCGTCGGGCCACCGATACGCGCGCGCATTTCCATCGCGATTAATCGATAAACGAGCATCGTTTCGGTAGCGAGCGCATGCTTCGATCGATCTTTGCATCTCCAAAGCGGATATTAATCGTAGAAACGTATTTAATGATCCGATGAAGCAAGTTGGCATTATTCACCGCGAAGGTGTGTGTTTTTATTTAATGGCGGCATGACGCGCATGTATATTTAGCAGAAATAGTTGAATGCCATTCTTCTAGCTTTCGAAACATTTTTGTAAGAAAAGATATAAAATTGTTTGTCTTTTTTAGTCATTCTGATTATGTTTAATGGTATTCTCTTTTCTGCAATTTAAAAAAAATTATATTGCTTAATACACAATCACCCACAAATAGCATTGAGAAAAGAAAGATTTGATTGACATATAAAATTATATTCTGTCAATCGGTAGTTTTCAATTCATCATAGGTGAGTCAACCCGAACGAAGCTCGATGAATTATATTGAGATTTAATCAACTGTCAATCGCATGGCGGTCCTTCACACGATATCGGGATCGAATTACCGATTTCTGCTGGTATTCAATTCAGCTGTCAAATAAAAATGTAAAGGGTTAAAGAATATCATGTTCGTCGCAGATGCGGGAGTAACAAGATCCTTCGTATCCTTTTTTCAGGAACCAAAAAGCGAGTCGACGAGGTAACAGCGCCGAGAACCATTCACGATTTACCGGATTACGTTCTCACATGCGGCCTCTCACTTCCCGGTAAGTTGCGACATATAAATTTCTCTCCAAGGAGAATATAAAAACAAATGACAATTTTGACAATTGTTCGATGCAATGAATTTGATTCTCTAAATTATTGCCGAATGTCCACCTCAGCTTTTTACGTGACAAAAGTTAGCGATTTAAAAAGACCTCCGAGACCTCGTTTAAGAAGCGAAGTAACGCTCGCAGATCTTTCAACACTTTTAGTGCGATGTTTCGTCGTAATCTTCGTCTCGCGCGTTGCTAGCGTTGCTCCGCATAGAGACACGCAACAGAAGGCAGAAACATACGCTTACGCCACACATGCGACTCGGCGTTGCCTCGCGTCGCGTTGCAGAAGATAACGACACACGGGGCAACCGTGGAGGAGTATGCGGAAGCTGGGACACACCCACCCACCACGTAGGGGCACTTAGACCCGGTTCACACGCCCCCGCATCTTCTGCTCGTTTTGTGCATCTATTTACGTAGTCCTTCTTCTCTCGTGGCCCTCGAGCACACCGGCAGATACTTCCCCGGCAGGCACGTTTTCCTCCCTCCTACCGCGATTCCGCCAAGTGCGCCATTCTCTCGGCTGCTCTCTTTGCTCCTCGTCCCGCTTTGTCCCTTTCTCTCCCTTTCCGCGAGGCTCAGCTGGCCGGATCCGCAGATATCTAACTGTATTCCCGTAGTTGGCGCAGTTGTTGCACTCCGTCGTCGATTAGCGCACGGCGGGTAGAGGTGGACAATACTCGGGGGAAACCTGACCGAGGATTAACTCGCAAGTGTTCGCATCACGAAACACACGCTTTTCTTTAAATTAATGTGAAAAATATATAACAAATAGTATTTAAATAATACTACTTAAAGTTAAATATAAACTATATTTTAAAGCCACATATGAGCCTGTTGTCAAATTGAACAAGATATACCTCGTTGTTCTATAAATACGGCTTTTTGGCCGTTCTCACATCTATTGTTTTTAATAAATTTGTTCTTAATAAATTTTGTTTTTAATAAATAATTTGTTTTTAATAAATTTGTTCTCACATCCAATTTTTTAATTTAATATAATCACAATAACACACACACATAAGATTAGCGCGAGAATCTTCTTTGTTATTAATTTTTGAGTAATTAATATATAGATTTTATTGATAGACAGATATTCTTGTTGCATCTACGTTAACTAGACTTTCATTTTCTCGTTTATTTTGATCTCTATATAAAACTTCATGTATTTCCACTATTCTCTACAGAGCGCCATTCTCCCTCTCTCCTTCCTCTTATCTAGTTATCGCATCATTATCTCGTAATAATAAACTTGAGGCGATATCAATCTACCAAGAAACGATTAAAGCGATATGTAATATCTTCGATACTGAACGGAGAAATCACTTCATCGAACTTCAATCGAGCAAATCCGCCGGTTTTTTTTCCACGATCTTGTCAGACATCAATATCATTCGTGTAATAATCCCTCCTACGAGACGGGCGTCCTGCAACGGTAACCGGGTGAAAGGGAAAAGCGCGCTCGCGGCCGCTTTAATTGCAACCGAGTGTGGGATATGCGCGACTCTTTTGTGTCTCGATTAAGGAGAGAGACCTCTCGCAGCAGCATTAACGTTAACTATCCACTTACTTGAACATGAGATACACGCTCAGTTCACACGCCTTCGTGTTCTCGTGCGTTCTTCCATTTATATGGCTCCACTCGTAGAAGGGCCAGCGGTCCCTTCTGCCTCTCTCTCTCTCTCTTTCTTTCTCTGTCTCAATAAACGCTCCTTTCTGTACCTAACACACGCTCTCTTCCCTGTACCGTCACTTCTCTTTCCGCTACCTTTTCTTACCGCTTCAATGTTCGTGCTCCCTTTGAGTTTCGCGTTCTCTCTCGTTCCTTCTTCCGCCCATCTTCGTGGCTCGCTCAGCTGACCGGATCCGCGGATGTCTAACTGTATCCCGTAGTTGGCGGAGCTCAGCCGCTTTGTCGTGGATTAACTGACCGGTACGCGAAGAAGAGACGATGGACTAGGAGTCACTGAGCCCCGGTGAATGAAAGAAATAAACAGCGAGAGGCGCGTCGTGCTGTCAGCTGTCGATTTTAATTACGGTAAAGTATGGGCGCGCGGGGTCTTTTTACGAAATTGAATGCAAGTGCGTGAGAGTCCTCTCGGAAACAATCATGGAGGTGAATTATCTTTTCATAAATAGATAAAAGCGCATTTACATTATTTACTACTAATAAATAAATATCATAACATTTCATAACAAGTGAATGCAGTGAATGAATCGATTTTTGGCTAAAATGTATAATTAGAGAAGAGAATTACTTAAAGTAATAATACAATGCAGTTCAATAGGACAATCGACAATTGCACAATTGTAATAATTATAAATAATTCTACATTTATTCATAAAATTTTGAACAATAACCTTATATTAAAAAACAAAACTTTATTTATTTTGTAAAAATCTTTTATACCACTTTTCAATATTTGTATAATATTTTATAATACTTTTATAATATTTTTTTTCAATTGTGCGGATTATTTATTAAAACCAGCCACGCCTCAAAATTTCTCTTAAAATATATCGTCACGAAAGTAACGGACGCTCATATTTCGATTCGACCCACGTTTCTTTGTTACTTCGCATCCTAGCGGCCATTTATATCGGCTTTCTTTCCTGCGGATAGTTCCTCGCGTGTCTCGTTAGATTCCTCTTGCTCCATCGGATACCGCCTTCAACGCTCGCGGTGCTTTCCTCACCTAGTGCTCACTTCCTTCATTCCGCCACCTTGATTGCAACAAAGTTTCGCAACGTTGCCTCAGTTTCGTATCTCGTTGGCACTGCCTCGCGGTCAAGTCTTTTCAACTCGTCCCGAGCAATCTCCGGGGGATTTTCCGACCGTCCCACCGACGTCACTCGGATTCTGCGCCTAGCTGTATGATTCCCTTCGCGATGTTGATGCGGTATGCGGTGAGAACATAGGGATTCAACGAGAAAGTTCGTTGACAATTGTCGAGCGGAAGCGCACTGTCTGTTCAAGAAATGTAAACGCTGTCTTTTAGGTAATCACCTATTGTGCAAACTAATCGGAGAAATTGCGCAGAACACGAGGGTTTTACGTGCATAATGTGTCTACTCTACTTTTTAGATAACGGTACATACACAAGCGCGACAGTCAATTGCTCGGTTAAATATGAAGATCGGCAAAAACAAAACTTTACTCCGGCATTGCGAGCAATGCCATTGATGAAATCTTCGAAGACGTGTTCGGTAGTTTCCGATAGGACGATAAGAGTACGGATTCCCATGTCGGTAAAGTTATAAAATATGTAAAGATATGTGTATTGAAAATTACACGAACGAAAGTCAATCTATTCTGTAGCAATCATCTGATATTACAAGCCGCATGAAATGGGTCTCGGTACGTCTTCTGCTTCCTCGTCATTGATTCTCCGCGTTCTTCGAGATCCCCTCGTTATGTATCCTCTCCTTTCTCCCTGTTGTCTCCTTTCCTCTTCCCACGGATTCCCAGCTGGAGGGATCACCGAGAGTACCTAACTGTAATCCCGTAGTTGGCGAAGCTGCCGCTTTGTCGCCGATTAGCTAGTTGAAGGTACGGTTGCGCGCGCGCGCGGTCGCCTAAAAGAGGCGGGACGAGTAGGAAGAGGAAGCGCAGGAGATGCGGCGTCGAGGCACGTTTACGCCCGCCGGGCAAAGAAGTGCAAGTACGACAAACGACCGCGGCCGAAGTTCAAGTATTACACGAGAGAGCCGGATCGGAGTGCATTTAAGCACGAGCGCGGTGACGGCCTCCGCAACGTCTCGTTTCTTCTTGTCGTCGCCTTTTCCGCGCGGCTTCCAACGGGAACTACGCGACGACGATTGATTTTGTCATCGCTCTAATTCGCCGACGCGTGTACGCTCGCGCGCGCGAGTGATTAAATGGCATCGTTGTGCGAGATGTTTCGAGCGATTACACGAGCTCGTTGCATGGACATCCGTTGACTCAATCTGTCGACTCGATTAGGCGTATCCGCATAAATTATCTATCGGAAAACGCTACCACGTCGGGAGAAATCGCCCCGGCTCGATTTATGCCAGGAATCATAGATTTATAAGGTAGCTGTCCGCGTGGCGCATACACGATCGCAGCAGGTGAGCAGAGCGTGTAATAGAATCCTCGAGAGAGGCTAGAAGTTATATAGGGTGCTTTCTGATGTTTGTATTGAACTTCATCAGCGTAGTTTTCAACAAATCTCAAGTTAGTTCTTCGTTTTGCGCGAGAAATCACGTCAAAATATGATTTTAAATGTGATTTAATATTGAAAATTAAAATGTTATGACGTGAAGATGTTTGGATGCAAGTAAATAAAAGTTAATTGTTTAATTGCAACGACACGCGGATAAAATCACGCGTGAAACTCTCTTGAATTATACAGATATATAATATTGAAGAAAAATGAAAAATTGATCGAACGATCGTTGAACGAAAATTTCTATGCGAAATTGAAGCACCCTGTATAAGGAGCGCGATATATCAGCGCGATATCGGTTGGATATTCTCGTTAAATTAGACGAAGACGACGAGGTCGAAGCAGCGGCGTAAATTGCGACACCCCGAACGTATTTACACGCGATGTGATTTACGATTTTATGCAAGCTGAGTGTGTGTCCGGGCGATGTGTGTGGTGCAAAGGCGATCGTTCGCGCCTCCTCTTCACGGGGTTCAAACTAATGCGCAGATCAAACCGATTTGCCTAACTCGAGGCCGAGTGCGCGCCGAGTGTACGCTCGTAGCAACGTGAAAGCGGTCGGCTCTGTTTACGACCGCCCGTTCGACGATAAAGTCGTTCAACGGCAGCGCCGTCGTCCGTGGCGACTTGCTCGAGACTAATCTTCGGCCTGGTAATATGCACACAGGCGGATTGAGCGCAATACGGGATTACCGAGGTGACTAAAAAGGTAAACGTACGCGATTGTCACTTCCTCGTACGCGAGTTTCACTTTTA